GCCTTCGGTGGAGCTCCCCATGGGGCCACGAAACGTGTGAAGGGTGTGCCGAATTGGGTGTGCGGGACGCATGCGGGCGGGAGCACTGGGGCCTTCGGTGGAGGTCCCTATACGAAACGTGTGAGGGGTGTGCCGAATTGGGTGTGCGGAATGCATGCGGCCGGCAGCACTGCGGCCTTCGGTGGAACTCCCTATGGGGCCACGAAGCGTGTGAGGGGTGTGCCGAATTGGATGTGCGGGACGCATGCGGGCGGCAGCACTGGGGCCTTCGGTGGAGCCCCACGAAACCTGTGAAGGGTGTGCCGAATTGGGTGTGCGGGACGCATACGGCCGGCAGCATTGGGGCCTTCGGTGGAGCTCCCTATGGGGCCACGAAACGTGTGAGGGGTGATGGTGCTGATAACGGCGATGATGATGACGATGATGGTGATGATGACGGGTGAGAGGAGGGAGGGGGGGAGGAGGAGAAGGAGGGAGGACGCGGGGCGCTGTCTCTTCAAAACGAGGACCCAACACCACACGATGGTTGGGAAAAGCAATACAAAATGCGCTTTGCCTCCAAATTTGGAGCATGCGCGGGCGCCCCGCGACCACTTCGCATTGTTTTTTGACAGGGGCGGCGGGGGTGACGCATATTGCTTGCTGCGCGCAGGCCAACCATCCCTGCCAATACACAATGCAACACACACACACACAATTTGGCTCCAAATCTGGAGCATGCGCAGGGCTCTCTTTACTCTGAGCTCCCATCTGTTTCACGACTCTTCAAGATGTCGCAATTTGTCCATTGGTGTCGGTGCTTTGCGCTCCCTGGAGGAGCCGCCCTTCTCACATAATGCTTGGCACTTCGCTTTAGGGGTACTCCAGATCCTGAACTCCTCGCGGCCATGGCCCCAAGCACCTGGGGTCCCTTTTGGTTCCCCGTAGCTGGCGAACCTGGCGCGGCTGGAGCACGTGGCACAATTGGCGCACGTGGAGCATGTGCCGCACCTGGCACGCTTGCACCTGCAGGGTGCCTGGCGCACACCTGGAACCCGTGGCGCCTATGGCATGTGTGGCGTTCGTAGGCGATCTGCTGACACTCGAGTCTTACTAATGTGTCGGGAGGACGGTTGGGAGAGAGCTAAACGGTCTGCTATCTAGAAGGGTAGCTTGACCCCTCCCCCTCTCCTCTCCCCCTGGACCTGGACGGGGGTTTCCGCGGGTCGTTGGAGCGTCCACGATGGCCTCGGCGAGAAGGCCAACATCATTTTGACGTTTCAGGTTTTGGCAACATTTCGGCCTCCTGGGGTGGTGGGCGGCGTGATCGGAACCTCCCCCTTCGTTGATCGATCTCCTCGAAGACGGCTCCAAGATGGCCCTCGAGGCTCCGAAGGGTGCCCCAAGCCAGTCCCAAGAGGTGCCCAGGAGGCCCCAAGAGGCTCCAAAGATGCCCCCAAGAGGCTCCCAAGATACCCCCAAGAGGCCCTCAAAGGCCCCCTAGAGGCACCCAAAACGCCCCAAGAGGCCTCGGCGAGAATGCCAAAATCACCTCTTTTACCGATGGAGTTGGGCACATTTTGGCCTCCTGGAGGGGGGGGGCCCTATTTGAGGAGGCCCCCTTTTTGGATTTATCTCCTCCAAGATGGCCCCACGATGGCCCCCGAAGCCCCCAAGGGTACCCCAAGACGCCCAAGATGCCCCCAAGAGACTCCCAAGAAACCCCCAAGAGGACCCAGGAGGACCCCCAAAGGCACCCAAGACGCCCCAAGAGGCCCCCAGGACTGCCGAGAGACCCCCGAGACGCCCCAAGAGGACTCCAAGCTCACGAAAGACATCCGAAGAGACTCCAAGACATCCAAAAGGCCTCTGGCCTTTCTGCTCGCCCTCCCCTCTCCGCCTTCTCCTCCTGCTCCTCCTCCTCCTCCTCCTCCTCCTCCTCCTCCTCTTCCTCATCATCATCATCATCATCATCATCATCATCATCATCATCATCATCATCATCATCATCATCATCAGCATCAGCATCAGCATCATCATCATCATCATCATCATCATCATCGTCATCGTCATCATCATCATCATCATCATCATCATCATCATCATCATCATCATCATCAACAACATCATCATCATCCTCTTCCTCATTCCCCCACTCCTCCTCCTTCCTCCTCCCTTCGCAACTACCCAATCTGAATACTACTGCCCTCTCTCCCCTGATGACGTCCGGAAGATGTCCGGCCCCCCTCCGCGTACTGATTTTTTACACGCAAGATTCCCGGGAGTTGGGTCTTCGCATTTTTATGTTAAGATGTTGTTCCCGCCGAAGCGCTGGTCTCAATGTCGGGTGTCCGCTCACTCCGAATCGTGTTCCCGCTGCAGCGCTGGCCTCATTGCCGTGCGTCCGCTCGTTCCGAATCGTCCTCCCGCTGTCGCGCTGGCCTCATACTCCGCTTCCGCTCGCTCCGAATCGTGCTCCCGCTGCAGCGCTGGCGTCATCGTTTCCACTGCCATGCCGCGGCATGCAATGCAATGCTACGTGGTGTTCCGCTGTGTGATGCCATGTCCCCAAATAAAAAAAAACGCTCCCCCGAAAAAGCCATCGGAAGTGATAACACATCGGATATCGATTCGTCGATTTCTGGGGCCGCAGAAGCCCTCCCCCACTTTGGGGCGCCATCGTTTTCAGAAAGTATCAAGCGGGATCCCCGTTTCTGCCTCGAGAAGGCGATGTTGGAAACAGAACCAGCGGGTGCTCTCCATCAGCCCCGCCTTGTGTGGAGCATTTCGGGGTATGCCGTGCTCTACGATGCATCACGCACCCTCTCGCGACCATTGCCCTGCTCGACATCCGACTGTGCGAATACAGGGGGACCGACGCCATGGTATGGTAAGGGGTGGGAGGGATGGTAGGGCGTCAGACATGCCACGAACGCACCTAGCCTGTTCCCCTCCTCCTCCCCTACTCCTCTGCCTCCTCCTCCTCCGCCTCGTCCTCCTGTTCCCCCTCATTTTTGTTCCCAAATGGCTCCCCCTGCGCTGCACAACTCCACGAACGAGGCAGCTGCACATACATTGACAAAACGCATCGCGCGATGGGCTCCGCAGGCGGGTGGACGAGCACAGCGCCGCGCCCGAGCCTCAGCTCCGCGGGCGGGTGACCGAACCACAGCGCCGCACGCGAACCCAACTCATTCGCGCGATGGGCTCCACGGACAAGTGCCCGAACCACAGCGCCGCGCACGAGCCCATCTCATCTCAGCCCTCATCAAATACAGCCCAAGGCAGGTACGTTGTCAGAGCGCAGTCTGGTTACAGGGCAAATTACGCATCACAAAATCACTGCTGAGGGCAGCTCACGTCGTCCGCGGGCGGAGCGATGCCAGGCAAACCGATCACCTTGCCACGCCGTTGGACACGGGAATTCAACCGACCCCGCTTCCGAATGGAAGTTCTGCACGGCTGGCTGCTGTTCCCAACAGTGCAACGTGAACAAATATCCCGAAAACAATCCATACGAGCACGCTTGCGGATGAAAGGTTGTCTCTACAGGCTGTCCAAAACAGTGTTCTGCGAAGGGGTTGCGCGACAGTAATCCAGACGAGCCCTCTTGTGGATGAAAGGTTGCCTCGGCTGGCTGTCTGAACGCACAAACTACTGCTGTTCAATATCACGAATGTACCCGAACTTCTGCTCCGCTCCCTCGGCCAGCGCCTCGCTCACGAAAGAATCGATCACCAAAACGCTGTAAGCCATGGTTCCGCACGCGCACCTGGGCCCAGTATGTGCGGCAGCTGCTGGAAGTTGTTTCACCTCCACCCCGTCGTTCTTCGCGACGCCGCACTGCACTGATGACTCTACCCCACCCTCAGAGCCATCGCTCTGGGAGGGGTGGGATTCCACAAATGGAAACCGAACAGCAGTGGCCTCACACCTTGGCAACTCGATGCTGCGCTCGATGGGATCCCACACTCCACAGGGGATGAACGGGACCGCATCTGGATCCAGCAGCGACTGTACTGGTAGGCGAGGTCCCTTCTGCATCTGCTTGAGCTCCGCCACCGTGGCCGTCGAAATCCGAACTCCAGGCTGCACCGCAGCATGTAGCGCCACGTTCCTCCAAAGGATCGCAGCATGATCTGGGGCACGTCCGTGGAGCAGGTCAGCGAGGGCGGGTGCAAGAGCCAACATGCGATCTCCCAGCGGCGACTCCACAGACAGACAGGAGACAGAGTCCAGGAGGCGCTCATACTTGGCCTTGTGCACCTTCAGCTGATCGGTCAGGCGCGAGATCGCCTGATCGGCCGACCAACGGGCCCATTCTCGGCGCTCGCGGCGCTCGGCTGCCGTGCGACGTGGAGCCGCACCAAGTGAGCATGAATATCCCATGCCCTTCCGTGCCATCTCAGGCGCACTGCACTAGCCTGGGCAGAGCGCGAAGCCAGCTCGAGCCAACAGGTAGTGCCCGCTGCGGGCGGCTGAGCCAAAATGTCGACGGACCTCCTTCTCCTCCTCCTCCTCCGAATCCTCCTCCATCCTCCCCCTCTTGGGGTATGACGTCTCACCCAGCCCTTTATTCCACTGCATGCTCCTCCACATCCCTGATCAGGGCAACTCGTCTGGGCATCGTTTCTGGATGGGCTGGTAGGGGTTACGCGAAGTATCTAGAATGGGCTCCCCGACCTAGACTGGAAGGAACAGCCCAACAAACATGGCTCCTCCTGGGCCGGAAGTGGCACTTACTTCAGCATCTCAACTGTATGACCAGCTTCCCTCAGGACCCGTTGCTCGAAGGAAGACCAGTCGAGACAACGGCCCAAAATCTGTTCAAATCGGTCCAAGGGCCCATCTCAAACCGTTTTTCCAGGCGGATCTGGCCGTGGCGGCGAGAAGCCTCCGGGAGACCTCAAAATGCCGCGAAACGCCGGGGGAGTCTGGACACGGCGATGGAAGCCTCGAGACCCGTTTCCCTCGGGGCCGGCTTCCTTTCGTGGCGATCCACCCCGCGCGCGCGGCCGCGCCACTGCGGCAGGTCGGGCACGCAGGAGAAGACCTCTGGGGCCGAGCGGTGCCCCAGCGAGTACGCGATCTCCTCGGCCCCGAGGCTCGCCGCGGACGTGCGCACTCGGGGGAGGGGGGCGAAGAGAGGAGGGGAGGGGAAAGGAGAGCCTCTCGATGGGGGAGGAGGATGTGGGAGGATGGAACATGGAGTAGAAGGCGGTGGCTGAGGAGGAGGAGGAGCAGGAAGAGGAGGAGGAGGATGAAGGAGAAGGATGGAGGAGGACGATGGAGCAGGAGGAGGAGGAGGAGGAGGCAGAGCGTGGACGAGAAGGAGAAGGAGGAGGAGGAGGAGGGCGCGGAGGAGACGGAGGAGCTGGATGAGAGGAGCTCGAGAAAGAAGGGCGGAGCTGGGGGGCAGGGGAGGATGCCGTCGAGAGCGGCTGCGCGGCCGGCCGCCACTGGCCACTGCAAGCCCGCGCACCCGAGCCTTCTCACCCTTGCCGCCGCCGCCGCCGCCGCCGTCGTCGTCGTCATGATCGTCGTCGTCGTCGTCGTTGTCGTCGTCGTCGTCGTCGTCGTTCTCGTCGTCGTGGTCGTCGTGGTCGTCGTGGTCGTCGTCGTCGTCGTCGTCGTCGTCGTAGTCGTGGTCGTCATAGATGTTGTCGTCGTCGTTGTCGTCGTCGTCTTAGGCGTCGTCGTTGTCTTTCGCTTTGCGTGTCTTCGTTGGTCCCTGGGCGAGTGTGCGAGGGGGTCAAGGCAAGTGGTAACTTCAACGCTTTCTGGAGTGTTCCCTCGTTGGGTGTGCAAGCCGTGGGTCAAAGCTCGGACCTCCAAAGTTTCTAGATCCTGGATGCAATGGCATGACAATACGAATAACAATCAGACGACTGAAAATCACAGTAATACAAGTAATACGACTGACAATGACAATACCAGTAGTAATCATAATATTACTAGTAATAACCGTCATAATAGTAGTAATACTGATCATAATAATCAATATAAAAAGAAGACGACGAATAATAAGACGAATAATAACAAGCAGAAGACGCCGATGCGCCCATCCAACCAGGCAAAAGCAGAAGCAATTTAGCCGGAGCGATGTCTTCCAAAGGAGTTATGGCTGAACGCTATCACACGGCCAAGCAAATCCTTCTCTGCCCACCGCTCCTTCTCGTCGTCCTCGTCCTGCTCCTCCTCCTCCTCCTCCTCCTCCTCCTCCTCCTTTCCCTCGCTCTCCTCCTCCCCCTGCCAGTTTTCCTCCTACTCCTGCTCGTCGTCCTCCTCCTCCTCCTCCTCCGCCTGCTCTTCTACCGCCTCTTCATCCTTCTTCGCCTCCTCCTCCTCCTCCTCGTGCTCTTGCTCCTCAGGAACCCCCAGGAGTCCCAGATCATTATATCAACCTCCAGAAGCAAACGAACATCTCCGAAAACCTCCCCGTCCTCCTCCTCCTCGGTTTGCCTGTCTCCCTCCTCATCCTCCTTCTCCTCCTCCTCGTCCTCTTCCTCCTTCTCGCTTTCCTCGCTCGTTGTCCTCCCGACATCCTCCGCGGCTCCTCGTATCCAGAGTCGGTCCTGCCCCGGAACACGACCTCGGAGACCACCACCTTGGGACCAGAAGGAGCCCCTGCCTGACCAGGCGAGCTGGAGAACAAGGGAGGAGCAGGAGGACAAGGAACCAGGAGTGCAAGGGAGGACAAGAGACGAATCTCCGCACGCGCGCGCAAAGCCCTGACTGAGCCACGACGATCAAGAAGAGGTAGTCGCTGCGATCTGGTTGGGCATTCGAATCCCCTGGCCACCGCAGTAGGGGCCGCGTGGTTCTGCATCGACTGCGCGAAGTTGCGGGAGATGACAACCGAGACCAGACTGGCATTGAGAGCTATCATCGACATCGCCATTATGATCGCCACCGTCAACGCAATCGTCGTCGACAACGCCTGCCACCGCCACCGCGTCCTCATCTTCCCCAACTGCTGCTACCAATAATACTGCTGCTGCCGCTACGAACAATACTCCTGCTACTACTGGTACGACTACTGCTGGCGCAGCTTTTACAAGTACGGCTACTGCTGCTGCGAGTGGTAGGTCTTACTCCTTTAACTACTAAGAAACTACGACACCACCATGACAAAACAATATTGAATTCACATTGCTCCGCACTGGCCCAGCATGTCTCCAAGTGGGAGTATCATGTTGCTGATGCGATACGTGCGAAAGACAATGCAATTGTATGCCATGCGATGCGAATCAGTGTAGCGTGAAGCATAGCATGCCAATGGATAGCATAGCACCGTCAATCCCACTATAGCGTAGAATTGCGCCATAACACAGCAAAGCATGACACTGCATCGCATGGCACGTTATAACATGGCATGTCTTCCAGATAACCACATATAATGGCACAGCTCTTACTATAACTGAGTAGCAGGTTAGCGCATGGCACAGCGTAGCACTACATTGCACAACATAGCAATCTCGCGCAGCACTGCAGAGCATGTCATTGAATTACGCAGCATGGCATTGCACACCACACGGTCGCACAGCATTGAAATTAAAAGCGGTGTAGGGCACAGGAGCACAGCATGGCATAACATTGCACATAGCACCGTGGCATATGCGTCCGTAATATAGCACTGGATCGCATAGCGCTGCCAGCACGTGGTACAGCTTCTGTACCGACCCAATAACGATCGTGCGCCTTAACACTACGAAATATACTACTGCTGCCGATGCAAATCTCACCGTCAACCCTACTGCCACAACTACTACCAGTAGCACTCTACTTCTACTAGCGTTGCTGCTGCTACTCCTACTACGATTCCTACTGCTTCTACTTCTACTTCTACTTCTACTACTACCACTACTACTACTTCTTCTTCCTCCTCTTCTTTTACGTACTAGCAAACAATTTCTCCGACTACGACTCCGGCTGCAACTGCGACTACGTCCACAACGACTACGATCCAATCTACAACCACTACTACTACTGATATTAATACTTCGACTGCTACCCGCTAAAACTGATAGCTATGCTAACACTGCGTTCCTCGTACCCAGACGCGCCCTATCCGATTCATAGCAGTACCAATGCCAATACTCACAAGCTACTCCTACGCACACGCGTAATCATCATACTAGTAGTCCTGGTCAGAACCATATTCGTATACACATGTGACCCCAGCCTTGTAATATCCCTCTAGCTAAAATTACTACTCTTACTCGTATAGTCGTACTCATGTGCATGCACAACGACATGTACATGTACTGCCCCGTGTACCCGTGCTCATACACACAAGCGCACTCAAAGGCAACAACCTTGCTGGCAAAACACATGAGACGTTTACGTCGCGTTCGGGATGCCAGTGGAAAAAATAGGTTGAACGCGCTAACCGCTAAATCCAAGGCCGCTGGCAGCCTCCTGCACTTGGTTATCGACTTGCTTTCGCATTGCGCAGCATGCGATTTCGGGAAGGAGGGGAGGGAGGAGGAGGAGGCGGAGGAGGAGGAGGCGGAGGGAGAGAGGAGGAGGAGGAGGAGGAGGAGGAGGATCGGGGCGAGGATAGGAGGAGGAGGAGAAGAAAGAAAGGAAGGAGAAGGGAGGGGCGGTTGAGGAATGAAGAAACGTATCCCACACTGGTCATCGCAGCCAGATATTCCTTCCGTGCGTCTGAGATCTCCGAAGGCAACAAAAACAGCACCCATCAACAAAGCTGTCCTCCATCATGGATCCTACTCCATTTCGTCCTCATCATCCTGCTGCCCCCCTCCGTCTTCCCCTCCAGCTGCTCCAGCTGCTCCAGCTGCTCCAGCTGCTCCAGCTGCTCCTCCTCCTCCTCGTTCATTGTCTTTCGGCCTTCGGGGCCGGCTCCTCGTCGCCACGGCTGGAAGCGGCTCGAAAAAAACCAAGATGGACCTTGGGAGGAGTGTAGGGGGCGATGCTGAGCGGATGTTGCTTTCCCCCGCCTCCTCCTCCACCGCCTCCTCCTCCTGCTCCGCCGCCTCCTCCTCACCACCACTACCGCCCTCATCATCGTCGTCGTCATCGTCATCAGCGTCATTACCGTCGCTATCATCACCATCCTAATCGTCATCATCGTGGGCAACATCGCCATCATCGTCATCATCATCGTCATCATCGTAATCATCGTCATCATTACCATCATCATCACCATCATCATCCTCATCATCAGCACCATCGTCATCATCATCATCATCAGCATCATCATCACCATCACCATCATCATCAGCAGCATCATCACCATCATGGGCAGCCGCAGCAGCAGCATCATCATCATCATCACCATCACCATCGCAATCGCCATCGGCATCATCGTACTCGCCATAAGTCTCCTCCTCATCATACACAGCATTACATCAAGCATCCAGCATTATCATCAGAACCACCACCATCATCATCATCATCATCATCATCATCATCATCATCATCATCATCATCATCATCATCATCATCATAAGCATCGTCATAATCGTCATCATCGTCAGCATCATCATCATCGGCATCATCATACTCAACATCATCATCAGCAGCAACATCATCGGCATCATCATCATATTCTACGTCATCATCATCAGTATCAATAACATCATCGTCATGGCCATCAACATCATCATCATCATCATCATCACCATCGTCATCACCATGGCATCATCAGCATCGACATCACATGGCATCACCATAAGCATAACCAGCATCGTGGTCAACATCGTCAGCGTCATCATCATCATCATCATCATCATCATCATCATCATCATCACTACATCATCATCATCACCACCAGTGCCATCACCATCACCATCACGACCACACTCACAATCACCATCACCATCATTGTCAGCATCATTGGTACCATCCTCATCATCATCATCAGCATCGTCACCATCCTGACCCTCACCCTCATAATCGTCATCCCTATCACCATCACCATGATTAACATCGTCATCACCATCATCACCACACGCCACGATCACCACACTCATCATCAGCATCGTCGTCATTATGATGATCAGCATCATAATCATCATCATCATCATCATCATCATCATCATCATCATCATCATCATCCCTCATCATCATCATGGTCATCATGATCAGCATCATCATCACCAGCATCACCAACACCATCATCTTCATCATCACCGTTGTCGCTGTCATCATCATCAGCATCATCAGCATCATCATCTTCATAGTCACCAGTTGCAACATCATCATCGTCATCATCCTCATCATCATCAGCATCATCCTCATCAGCAGCATCAACATCGGTGTCATCGTCACCATCATCGTCAGCATCATCATCATCATCATCATCATCATCATCATAAGCAACATCACCAACCTAAGCAACCGCAGCAGCATCATCATTATCAACATCACCATCAGTATCAACATCATCATCAGCACCCTCATCAACAACACCACCATCATCACCTGCACCACCGTCGTCAGCATCGTCATCATCATCATCATCAGCGTCATAACCATCGTCATCATCACCATTATCAGCAGCATCGTCACCATCATATCATCATCGTCATCATCATCAGCCACACCAGCGTTATCATCATCATCATCATCATCATCATCATCACCATCATCATCACCATCATCATCGTCGTCATCATCATCAGCAGCAGCAGCAACATCATTATCAGCTTTATCAGCATCATGATCGCCGTCATCACCCTGCTCCTCCTCCTCTCGCCTCCTCTTCCTCCACTTCCTCCGCCTCATCCTGCTCACTTCCCCACTGGAGCAATTCATTCGCCCCTGCCTGGGCCTGTCTGCGCCCGCTCTCCACCCAGATCGAGCTTCGACGGCTCCCTTGGGGTCCCCAAAAAGGGCTCCCGAAGGCCGAAGTGGAGGAACAACAATTCCACTCGATGTTTGGTGGCTGTCAACCTCCCCTCCTCCTCCTCCTCCTCCTCCTCCTCCTCCTCCTCGGCCTCCTCTTCATCCTCCACCTTCTCGTCCGCCTCCACCCCATGACCATCGTAATTGTGACGCACAATGCCCAGACCCTCCTCGTGGGATGCGTGGGCCGAGCCGCTTGCTCGATGCATATCTGGGTGAACGCCGTACTTTGGTGCATCATATTCGGAATGTTGTGCAGAGTTCTCCGATCAGCGTGCTGCAAGAAGAGCTTCGAGACTGACTCCTTCGACGGGGACATCGGAGAGTCAAGAATTTTGCGGAGCGCATCGACTAGTGTGACTTCGTCTACCTTCTCTGAGGACTCCTTCGAGGATCCGCTGGTGGGAGGAGGCGATAAAACATGGGGGGTTGCAAGGATCGAAGGTGAAGGGGCGCCGACGAGACCTTGCCAATGAGATCCAGATGATGCAAGAATCACTGCGTGCTCTCGCGGGGGGAATCGGAGATGGCTTCCAGACAATACGTCAACAGACCAAGCAGTATCGGGGCTCCAAGCTGCTGGATGACGTCAGGGAGCTGGTCAAGAAGGTCGATGAGATGGGTTACATGCCTACGGACGAGCAGGTGCGCGAGAAGCTCCAGCAGCTTCTCGGCATACCCACGACGAAACAGCACCAGCAGCAACCGAAGCAGCAGCAGCAGCAGCAGCAGCAGCAGCAGCAGCAGCAGCAGCAACAGCAGCAGCAGCAGCAGCAGCAGCAGCAGCGGAAGGATCTTAAGGTGGTCAAGAGCCAGTGGAGCGATGATTGCCCGATCTGGTCTGCTAAGAGGCTGCAGGATTGCAACTACGAGCGGCCTCCTCTCATTGCTTGTCAGAATGAGAAGGAGTATGACGCGACACGCAGGTGGCTGGATGCCCTGGGGGGTGCGGAGCGCTCGGCCACCATCATCATCTTCAATGCGCAGCGCATCC